AATGCGCACAAGGTAGTCACCAGATAAGTGACAGTTTGATTTGTACTTTAATTGCCTCACGAAGTGCTGTGTGCTAAAGCTTTCTTATTTACATCTTATAAAAGCATGTAAATGGGTTTTGTCTGCCAAGACAGTGGTGCAAATATGATCTCCTGTGACCAATTTGGCTAAAGAGGTTGGAGTGTTACTAGATGGGATTAACTACCTGTTTTGGACAGCCAGAGAAATGATAGATGTCTGCCTCCAAGCGATCCACACTTGGGATGAGTTCATCGCTGCTCTGAATGACAAGCTTGACCTTGGCACCATAGTGAGATGAAGAGGAAGTCGACAAAGATATGAAAGCCCGAACAAAAAGGGAAGGGAAACTTGGAGATGCCAAAACAGTATGCACTTAGTTTGACTACCCATAACTTCTAGAAAGAACCCTGTGCTTACTTTGATTCTAGAAGGCCTGCAAAGATGTGGCCGTTTTGCAGGCACAACTAATGATCTTTAGGGGCCTTTTGATGAGTGGATAAGATGGAAGTTCATATGATTCAGATCCTGTTGGTATAAAATTGTACCTTAATATAAACTCAAGGTTGACACCGCATTGTTTTTTTTCCTTTTGTGAAACCAGTGTATAGGTTGTTCATCATAAGATCAGACATACTTGTTTATTTTAGGTTGTTATTATTTTGCTGATTTTTGAGTTGACATCCATTGTTTTGAGGCATCTATCATGCACATGTATTTCATAGCTAGAAAACCCTTGCCCATCAATTAGTTCCACTCCCTATACTATTTATATTTTTTCTGAATCCATGATTCATCAATTAGATCCATTCGTTGAAATTTTAGTACAAGTACCTATAATGACAATGTTCCTTTACAATCCTATTATGTTATCCAGTTTTTGAGTGATTGTTTAATAATCCGACTATTCATATAAACAATCTTTTCATTGAGACCAATACTCGGAGAAGTTTATGTTGTCAACATGTCATTCGGTAACTTTTATATGGCCTAATATTAGCTTGGCTTTTTCTCCATGTCTATAACAATGGGTACAGTCACAAATGACTCGTTAGTTTGGCGGCAGGAGCAGACATGATCCATTGAAGACAATATATACCTGTTAGAAGACGGGATAATACTTGCAATAACGATGTTGCAAACATCATGTTCGAAATATCACTTGTAATGGCAATATTGCAAACATCACACACAAAATAGCACTTTGTAATGGCGATGTTGCAAACATCACACGCAAAATATTGTTTTTTTGGTAACAATATAACACATCCATACTTATATTGTCGTGGTGTGATTTACATATATACTCGAACCTGTGTACAGGATGATACGGAGATGCGGCGGAACTTATTCGTGGATTTATAGGTGCACGAAAGAAATAGATATAGGAGATTTCTTCCTGCCGATATAAAACATTATCTTAGGCGATCATGGAAATGTCTATAAAATAGAGTTTGGAAGCATGTGACGCGCGCCTCCGTGACTATTAATTTCACAAACTTTGCTTTTTGGATTAATCAGTAACTTTAACGTTGATATTTAATTTTTTATAGTATTTTTATCTTATCGCGATCCGTGTGTTTTTTTAGTACAAAATGTTAGCTATCCCAAGAAAGAACGCATGGGCACGCTACCTAGTATGATATAATTGACAAAAGATCATATCAAGGGGAACTACCTTTCTTGGTTATTAAGTTTTCTTCATGTGTGATGGACTTGGACTCTCCTTTGCCCATCAGATTCTTGAAGATAACTTTCCTTCAGGGCTTACTAATTCTAATTGGTATATAGGGCTGATTGGCTCAATAGATCTAGAGTTAGTTCCCTACCAAAAAAAAGTCCAAAGGGTAGTTTCCTAGCCTAAATATGCAACTTGGATTCTATGATGCCCTCCCTCACAAGTACAAGATTATTTGCAGGTGCTAGGGTTTAGTTTTGTCATCATCATCAAGGTGATCAAGTGCAAAAATCATTGGCATTGAAGGAGTGATCATATCAAGAACCCTTCAAAAGCATTGGGTTGTTTGATCTAATCTGTATCAGAAGTGAGACCTGCAGTTGAGAGCAACAAAAAAATCTGATCATACCAAGGAACATTCAAAGTCTTGGAGCTTTTTCTTTATCTGATCTAATCTATATCAAACTGCAATTGGGAGGCAACTAGGGAAAAGATCAAGATTTAACTGCATTCCAGAGGTAAAGTAAGAATTTTTGTGAAAAAATGTGTGTGTTTATAGTTCTCCTGAAGACATGTTCTGGTTGTGTTCCTTATTCAGATTGGCTTCTCTGTTTCCCATCATCTACTTAATTGCTTAGGACCTTTCCAATTCTCTAGGAATCTTTAGATAGATCTCTTAACTGCACCTTTGCGATTCTCTAGGCATCTTTAGATAGATCTCTTAACTGCACCTTTGCGATTCTCTAGGCATCTTTAGATTAGATCTTACTGAAGAGTACCCCCAATATATACGTACACGTAAAAAAAATAGGCTTAACCGTCCCGTCTGTTCGTCTGGCCGCGGCCTCCGTCAATGCGTTGCCCCGTCGATTGGACTTAGAATCGGCGGGACCGCGAGTGTCCGCGCATTAGCGGCTCGGCGGTCGGCGCCCTTCGCCATTTGCGTCGCCGTCGCCGTCACCGGCCCGTGTCCGCGTTCTGAGTCGTCGGCCGGCTCGCCGATCGCCGCGTGCTCGTGTCGGCTGTTGCCCGTTGGTGTCCCGGCGACTCGGCCATGCAAACTGGTTCTCCACCGCTGTCGCTGTGTACTGATAGGGCGCATTAATCTTGGGCTTCCGCGGCCACCGTCCAGTGAGGCAGAGACCCCATTTCCTAATGATCTCCATCTGACCATACATGGTGTTGCAGGTTTGCAACTGCATTACATGTTCACGTCCTCACTAACCGCCCCACTACTTGCCATTCCATTTGAACAGGAACCACCACGCGGAAGTGCCGACGTGCTACACATGGACGCGCAGAGAGACACCAAGCCCTTCGTCTCCCCATCACGGCCACCGCCATACAGCGGAGCCTCCACGGCCCTAGCGTTCGCCAGCCGCCGGCGTTGCCGTCGGAGCACGGTGGCGCTCGAGTGTTAGCAGGCCGTCTGCAACCGCAAGCTCAGCCTCATCAAGCAGCGTGCGTCCTGAACCGGGCCGCTTCGGAGCTGTCAGGCGGTGTCGGCGGCCGAACCAGTGGCGCCGACGAGGCACTCGAGGGTACCTCGGCTCGTAGTCCTTGCTTTGCACCGCGGTTGAGTAGGAAGTTCTGGAGCGCCGGCGATTATGACGCGGCAGCGGCGACAGGCTCTGCGCCACAGCCTCCAAGCATGTCACAATGCTGAAATTTTTTGTGCGAATACTGTTAAATCTTTGTAGCATGCCTCTATGCTCGATGTTGACTACTTTACTCCGTTGCAGGTGTACAGAATCGCATGTGCATCCACCCTGAATTTCTCCACTCCAACGCGACTTCGCATAAATGTCCACTTGGAGGTAAGCTTCTGTGTGGTTTCAGACTTCTTTTATCTTACTACTGTCTTTCTGTTGCACTGTGTCTTACTTCCTTTGCCTTGTTATAGCTATGGCAGAGTTATTGGATAACGCGGTGGATGAGGCAATTGAACAGATTCATTATTTTTTGAGGGTTGAACAGATTCATTATTGAGCCACACACTTCGATTATTTTGGGTTAAATGTGTGATTGGATTATATTTGGTCAAACAGATAGAAAAGGGTGGTGCTACAAGGATATTGTTGGACAAAATCATTGACAAACGGAATGTATCACCAGCTTTACTAGTTCAAGGTTCTTTCTACTATTTATTATATTATTATTATTAATGTGACAACATTTTAAAGTGATATTTGATTACCAACTTATAAACTTCCCTGGTCATTTTTTGATGGAGTTTGTATGAACTAGATAGTTTGGTCAATGCTTGCATCTTAATGAAGCTTCTTTAGAATATTTGGATAAATCTGGGTATTTATGCCAATGTATTTGAAACTAACAAAGTGCATACTTTCTGGTTACCATACAGATGATGGTGGAGGCATGGATCCTAATTCCTTGAGGCGGTGCATGAGCTTTGGATTTTCAGAGAAACAATCAGGGTCTTCAATTGGACAATGTATTGCCAACTTTGTGTTATAATCTGCAAGTCATCTCCTGAAAATCCATTGTCTAACATTTTGGCATTTACTACTCTGATCAGATGGAAATGGATTTAAGACAAGCACAATGCGGCTTGGGTCAGATGCTATTGTGTTCAGCCGCTGCACAAAGAGTGGGTACCATATAAACTCACTTAGATCTATTTCTTTTTGCGAACTACTTTTCTTTGTCAATTGAAATAATGGCAAATTATTACTTGTTCTCAGTGAGCCTACACAATCCATTGGTCTCCTATCTTACACTTTCTTGCTGGAAACTGGACAGACAGATGTTGTAGTTCCGGTGGTACGTTGTGTGATTTTATTTTTATTTGTTTGTCATAAGAAACTACATATATAACACTTCCTTTATTTCTGATGATACCTTTTTCTTCTTAGGTGGATTATAAATGCAATCTAATGAAAGGACAAACTCAACGATTGGAGCGTCATGGTTCAGAGCAATTCTGCTCAAATTTGTCAGTGTTGTTGAAATGGTCCCCTTTTGCAACAGAAGAAGAGCTGATGCAGAATGTATGCTAAACCTGCCATCCTTTTGAAGTCTAGAGAATAGAAATACAAATTTTTATTTAATAAAACATAAATCACTACATCATTAAATCGACAAACTTAGACCTTCCGCAAGGTACAAGCTGGATAAATTGCTTGCTGTTTAAATACATGTCACAACTCATGTATAGAAAATCATTTAAAATAGTAAAATTCAACAATTTGGTGTATCTACTGCAATCTCATTTAGTATTTATTATTGATATATAGGTTAGCCAAAATTCTAATGGTTGTTGCAATCTATGGTTGATGAACAGTTCTGTGACATTGGTCCACATGGCACCAAGATTATAGTGTTCAATTTGTGGTCCAACGATGATGGTAAATTGGAACTCGACTTTGACACGAACCCAGAGGTAACCATCAAATACGGAGTATACCACTTGAATGATTCAGCGTAGTCATTGTTTTTATTGTTAAACTAATATTCTCAACTCTGATGATTGCTTCTCTTGGACAACTTTTACCAGCTGTGTAAAACTGATCTTTTAAGTTTGCTGTGTTGTGTAGATTGTTTTCCTAAAGAGGATTTTATTTTATTCTATTTGTTTATGTTGTATATTGTCAGTTGCTGGATTTTTTTTGTTAGCTGCTGGGCTGCTCATCAAAGTTCTTGCTATTTGTTTGTATTTCAGGATATTATGATTAGTGGAGCACCAAATCCAGAAGAAATTAGCAACTCTGTAAAAAGGACTAATGAGAACCATTTGGCAAATCGACTACGCTATTCTCTTAGGGTGAGTATCACACGGTTTACCACTCCTGCACAAGACTTGTGAGTTGGTTGCTGACATAGCATTCTGCAGGTCTATGCTTCTGTGCTATATCTGCAGCTACCAGATTACTTTAGAATCATACTTCGAGGTTAAGAAGTTAAGCGTCATAGCATTGTCGCTGACCTAATGTATCCTGAATGCATCACTTACAAACTCCAAGGTTGCGGAATAAAAGAGGTTCGCCTTGGTTTGTCTTTTTTACTTCACCAAATAACTTGTTGACTGTGTGAATACAGAGTTTCATACCCTTGTTCTTGTTTCTCCTTTTTGCATTCTCTTTGGTTGATTCAGGCTGGGGTTCTTACAACTATTGGATTCTTAAATGGTTCCCCAACTATTAGCGTGCACGGATTTAATATCTACCATAAAAATCGCCTTATTTTGGTGAGCTTCCTGACCCTTGCATTGAGCCACTTGATAAAAACAAGATTTACACAATTATTATCTTTTTATAGCATCTTTTTTTTTAAAAAAAATCTACTGCAGCCATTTCATAGAGTTCTGAGTTCTGCGAGCAGCAAAGGTAGAGGCGTCTCCGGAGTACTAGAGGTAGGCTTCATCAAGCCGACTCACGACAAACAAGACTTTGAGAAGTCGCAGCTGTTTCAAAGGCTGTTCAACAGTCTGAAAGACATGACTAACGAGTACTGGTAAGTTCCAGGTTCCGGATATCTGTTTCTCCCAAATCTACTAGCACCAATACAATTTTGCTTCGCCTCAGATGTCACCACATAAATGTCTCAATTCTTCTTTAGGGATATTCAGAGTCACAAGATTGGATACGTGAAAACGCCACGCCGGAGTGCAGCTCCCACTCCTCCAGTGATGCTGCAAATAGCGAATGGCACTGCTGAACCATCAGAGGGGAGTCCACCTGCTTCGATGCCACCCTTGGGATCCCACGGCAACTATGTGAATGCAGTTCCAATCGCCTTTGCGCCTCCTGGTTTCAACTCAACGCCAGTCAAAACAGAGCCTGTTGCACCAGGAGAGCCTATGGGGTGCTCTCCGTCCCAGCCAAACATGCAGACCATGCAAGTCATCAACCAGACGAGCTCACCTTCCATGGCGCCCGGCACTGGTTCCGCAGAGACAAGGAAGAGGAGGAATGAAGATGCTGCTCTGACGGTTGCGATTAAAAGGCAGGCTATGCAAGATTTGGCTGACAGCAGCTCTGCTACTGATCAGGTTGGTAGTTAGTACAGACAGCATTGTTGTTCATCCAAGCTAGTACTACCTTTTTGGTGCACACTGTCGCCTTGATTGTTATGCGATCTCTATGTTATATTGATTTCAATCTCTTGGCGAAACAGGTATGCCAGTATATGGAAGAGCGAGAGCTGAGGGAATTTTCCTTCTTGAAGATGGAAAACCAGATGCTCCATGAAGAGTGAGCCTAACGATTAATCTTGCTTTGGTTTAACTTCATCCTATAGTGATTTTGCCAAAGTGGTGTCTAATGCATTTCTTTGTTTTGTGTGTTTTTTTTCTCTATAGGTGCTCGCATTTTGAGACGGCCGAGAAGGAGCTACTACTCAAGGTAAAATTCTCTGCCTTCCTGTGATGACGAGTCTGACGAATTGAACCTGACCGTGTGATTATTTGTGTCGAACAGGAACAGAATCTGCGGCTCGAAATTGAGAAGGCGCGGGAGCAATACAAGAGCCTACTGGACGAACACGTTTCGGTGTCAGCACAGCGTTAGGTGTCGCTTCCGAAGTCACCGGGCGCGGTTTGCCATTGTTGAACCTGACCCTGACCTCGTGCTAGCTCAGCTCTTCATGACAAGTGGTCATATTCAGCATGCCAGAGAACCGAACACTGCCGGTGTAGACAACTAGACATGCATAGCGCGGAAGGCATGTATGTGTGCTCAGAAGCTCGATCGGCTTGGTTTCTTCTCCCGTGTCCAGAGGAACTCGCTTGGGCAAAAAGGGGATCTTTCTTTTTTTGTAAAAAAAAAAAAGAGGTTTTCCTTTTGGCAGGTCTGTGTCTAGCGTGTAGACTGAAGTGCCAAAACTAAACTGTTCGTGTTACTCCTTTTTAAAGAAAAAAAAACTGTTGATGCTTTGGGAAATTGAGAAACTGAGATGTAAAATAAAATGTAAAAAAAAAAAAACCCTACCGTGTTGGCTTCTGTAGAGATGAGACCACGAAGGCACGACAGGCTGGGCCTCCTCAAGCCGCAACTAGTCCACCTCTCGCCGGGAAGAACAAGAACCCCGGCTAGCTAGGCCAGGACGTGTCAAAAATATGGTGGACATGGGTTTGGGCACCGTCAAAACTATCGCACGAGTCAATTATGCATTGGATCGCTGGGATCTTTGGCATACCACCAAGGCCATAAGCCCATTATTACTAATTTCATATATTAACAGTTTGTCACTGGAAACTACACAGCTTTCCATTAAAAAACACTGCATCATGAAGGGTTCTCAGGTACAACTCCCAGAGGCCTTCCTCTGTGCAAATAGGAGGCAATTGGTGGTTGTTATCCAAGATCAGCCCAGCGACAAGCTGGGAATCTGGTGAGGAGTGAAGCTTGGGAACGTCGGTTCCTTCAGTGAAAAGCCAGGCTGTAAAGTACTGTTAGCTGATTTGTTATGAGAGAAAAACACTATATCATGGTTGATAAGTTCAAGCGAACAGAACATAGTAGATACATAAGATCGAGTCTCTTCAGGAAAAAAAAATCAGACAATGTTCGAGAGTGTGGCCTTGGAGAAAGGGTTCATCAGTAAGCGCCCGCCATCATTTTGTATGAAACCAATTCGGCTTCCGGGTGAAGCCAATTTCTCCATTTCCTGGAGGCTAGCTGGATCAAAACAATAATCTCAAGGAAAAAAAAACTCATCGTTTACAGACTGATTTCTACACGCAGCATAAAGAATCCGCTCCTCACAAATCCGAATGACACTTCAGTCCGTTGAAACTCAAATAGGCAGGAACAAAAATCTGTTCAGAAATCTGACAGAACTCTTTTTGACACTTCCTGCACAATGAGCGATGGAACAAAATAAAGACGAGCAACAGAAGAGCACCAAACATTAAAATTGTTAGAATCATGAGATCATTAAGGGAAGCAAAACAATGCCAGGTTGCTATTGTTGGTGAAACTACAGCGACAGCAAAGTCACCGATGCTACTGCTGCATCAACGATGCACAATCTTCGGCCCTGTTTGTTTCGCTGAAAAGCCAGGCTGAAAAGTACTGTTCGCTGATTTGTTGTGAGAGAAAAATACTGTACAGCCAAGCTGATAAGTTTCAACATTTCTTTTTTGAGACAGAGGCAACAGCTCTGAACAGAGGAGAGCGTAAGCTCAGGCTTATCAGATATGCAACAAAACTAAAATACGCAGGGCTACCCTATATAGAATATAACAAAATGAACTCCTGAAAGCTTCAATGCTTAGCAACAGAATCTTCATGCGCCACCTTCATCAAAACTTTTTATAGTCTCAATGTTTACATTAATATTTGCAGGATCTTTAAAAGTATGAAGAACGCTTAGACAAAAGTATTTATTCTAAAATTTTGCAGAACTCGGAACTTGTAAATGTAAGCACAAAACCACAAGATTGAAATGAGAGCCCTGAAACCCAGGTTGAGCAATACTAACAGCCCTTTTGTGAAGTGAAATGTTCCTCCTGCTGCAGCATTGCATACATGAAAACACTAGCATCAACTATAGCTTGTGCACATAATCATTAAAACTTGAGTCTTAGAGAGTAGCTAGTAATTAATATGGTTCAACAACATCACAACGATACTGATAATCTGGCATCAGTCAATAAGAGTACATATTACATAATATAAAGACCATGCGGAAGCTAAGCTGGCCTGACGATACTGATAAGCAGGCATCAGGCAATATATAAGAGTACATATTACATAATCTAAAGACACTGCAGAAGCTAAGCTGGCCCGGTTACATATCACCAGGAAGAGCTAGCTAAGGTTGGGATCTCCATACATACATATAAGGCCAAACTTCTTCATGATCTGCTTATGTACGCACACACAAAGCTAAGATGAAGTTATGGCTAGAGCTATCTAAGTTGATCTCTACTTGTTCCAAAGTAGCCATAGACCTTGCGCTGCTCTTTGGTAGAGATGATCAGGCAGGCTAGATGTGTCATTTAGAACTTCCGGGTTTCCGCCTGAACCCGGCAGTTCCATGCTACGAAGCTCATTGTGCCTTGAAGGCTGGCGCCATTGCCGCTGAAGATCTTCTCGAGGATAATGTTGACAGACTTCATCAACCTGAGTGTCATGGCGCTATGGCGAAGGATAGTGGAATCATCATCCCTATACCTTCCAGGGAGCGCCTGGTGTAGAGGCTGAACACCAGCACAAAGATCCACCCTCCAGACTCCAGGAGTGACAGGAGGTGGAGCAGGCTGCTATGGCAGGCGGGGCAATCTTGGAGGTCCATTTATGGATTCCAGCTTGGTCCCTCGCCATGAGAGGGGCCAAGTTGAGCTGCTCCAGTTGCAGAGTATGGCTTAGATCAAATCTGAGAGGTGGGCAAAACCTAATTTTTTACAATTTGGCCTTTTTTTAAAGAAAATTTACGTTTGCCCCCCTGGGAGACGTAAACTCATCTTTGGACCCTGGGGGGCGGCGTCAGGACTCATGGCGCCGAGGTAACACGTCTCGGCGCCACAGATCTTGGCTCGAGGTGCCGACCATGCATGCCATGGGCATCCTAGGTGGTGTTGCCATGGCGGTACCTCGGGCTAGAAACATGGCTCGAGGTCGGCGCCACGGATCTTTGGCGCCGACCTCGGAGCGTGCCGAATGATGACTGCGACGGAGGTGACGACGCAAGCGGTAGCAGCCTGCTGGTCGACCAAGCCAGCAACCGGAGCGCGTCGCCAAAGCAGCGCAAAGGCGAGGCCGACTGCGCCAGATAGACCGACGACAGCGTGGCGGTGGTGTCTGCTTGCCTCTGTCTGATCACCTCTACAGTACACTTAACTGTTTGCAGACACGCCTCCTTTCTTTTCACCCATCCATCCATAAATCCTCTCATGTCTCAAGTCTCACTCTCGGTACTAGTCCTCATTTGATCGCATGCTAGCCTGTCATATTACATGAATGAATGAGCTAGAAATCGATATTAGTAGCGTTTTTAATTAACAACGATGGTTAGGTTAGTCTCCTCACCTGTTTTATCCTCTTTCTTGGGTAAAAAAGATCGACAACACATCGGCACAATAGTGATACGAATCAAATCAGATCAGTTGCCGCTTTCGCTAAGGGTCCCTAGCTAGCTTTCTCCCCGCCATGCCTCGTGATGTGGCCCCACGTGACGCATGCAACTCGATCAAAGCTGGAGCTAGGAAACGGGGGGCGAGGTAAGGTAGGCAGCTAGCCCTGCATTAACCGCATCCGCTTCCATCTGCGCGCCATGGAAAGGAAAACGAATCTTTGCCCGGCAACCGGCCTCGGTAGGGGTAGGCTAGCTTCGCCGATGTTTCGTCGATCTTTTTAGCCCAAGAAAGAGGATAAAACAGTGAGGAGACTAACCTAACTATCGTTGTTAATTAAAAACGCTACTAACATCAATACTAGCTCATTCATTCTATATAAAGCAGGCTAGCATGCACCAGAGGACTAGTACCGAGAGCCGAGACTTGAGACATGAGAGGATGGATGGATGGATGGATGGGTGAAAAGAAAGAAGACATGTGCAGCAGCTAGTGTACTGAAGAGGTGATTAGATTTGAGGCAAAGAACACACCACCGCCACAGCTGTTGCCGACCGTTCAAGGCGCCTGGTCTCGCGCTCGCGCTTCTTGTCGACGACGCGATTCGTTGACTTGTCGACCAGCACAGTTCGCTACCGCTTGCACGTTTCATCACCTCCATCGCAGCGCATCATCCGACGGGTCCGAGGTTGGCGCCAACATATGTGGCGCCGACCTTGAAGCCATGTATTCTGGCGCCGAGGTACCAACCACGTCAACGCCACGTAGGATGCCCTACTGTGCACGGCCAGGCAGCTCGGAGTCAAGATCTGTGACGTCGAGACGTGTTACCTCGACGCCATGAGTCCTTACGCCGATCCCAGAGTCCAAAGATGAGTTTACGTCTCACCGGGGGCAAACATAAATTTTCTTTAAAAAAGGACCAAATTATAAAAAATTGGGTGGGCAAAACATGTCTCCCAAAGGTCAGCTGCCAGAGAAGTCAGGAGTATACAGAAACAGGCCTTGAGTGGGTGGCGGAGGATATCCTCTAGCCGAGGTGCCGCCCGTAGCTGTAGCCACCCGTTGACCACTGGAGGTTCCACCACCCGTTGACCGCTGATATGTTCATCTCTATCGCCGGTTGGGGGCCACTACGGACGAATCCGAGTCCGAGGTCAGAAGCTGCTAAATAAGTTATCAGTGCAATCAAAATTTGAAGATGCCAGGCATTGGACACCAGAAATCATCAGATCAGAAATCAGTTGAATACGGAGTACTTTTATAATGCTAGTCCTAGTCTTATGTGTGATCTTCACAGTTGGTAACAACAGCATCTGTAGGTGGCAAACACCAAGTTCATATGTTTTGACAAGCTAACTGCAACTGAACTTGTGCTTGTTTAAAGAACTGAAGGTGTGAAACTAACACAGAAACCAGTAAACCACAGCCGTTCGCTCTAACAAGAGTAGAACTGAAGGTGTGAAACTAACACAGAAACCACAACCCTTT